TGAAGAGCCTGGGCCTCTGTAGCTGACTCCGATAGAAAGCCGTAGGTAGTAATTGCACAAAGGGATTTCAGACCAGCTCCATGTTCTAGAAGTTCCGCGGAGGCAGTGCAGGACAGGACTAGAATCACTAGCCTCGAGACCCACTTTTGCTACGCACTATTCAGGGCAAAAATGGTCCCCTGGAAGCAATTTTAGAAGATTTATATTTATTTGAATTCCATTGCTAGAGAGTTTTCCGTCATGGAGATGCACGGTCGTGGGCAAATGCAGAGTCCGCTCCGGAGGAGATGGAGAGCCAAGAGGCTTCCCTTGTAGGTAAAGACTCAGATTCTGGTCCTGCGGACTTGGCGCGTGCTCCAGCTCCCTGCCCGCGGGAGTGGCGGCCCCTGGCCTCAGGATCCTGATCTGTGTGCAGGTGGGGGGCGATTCATGGTGCTGTGGCGAGAGGCGAGGCTTATGCACGCATCAGACCGCGCTGTGGAGGACTGAGCGCGTGTGCGTGTCTGTTCCTAACTCGGCGGTGGGGCGGGGGGGGGAGCCGAGCCTCAGGCTGACGTCGCAGGTCGCGTCAGCACCGCGGTCCTGCAGGCGGCTGGAGTCGCTGTCCCTTCATCGGCGTGAACCGTGGCTCGTCCTCATCGTTAACCTGTTTTGGGTGTCAGTGGCTTGTGTCCTCCGGCAGCATACTGTTTCCACTTGCACCTTAGCACACGGGAGCGGCCAGACGGGGGTGTGCGGGTTTCCCTCTTCCCGGGATTCGAGATTTCCGAGGACCAGGGCTCACGCTTCCCTCCTGGACGGGTGCGCTTGGTGCGTTAGTGACAGGGATGGTCGCAGGCGGAGGGGAAGGAAATCGAGTACCGAGAAGAGAACAGGGCCGGCCACTTAAGACACTCGGGAATGGGAAGACAACGTTACAGAGCAGGGACCACATCCTGCCCGGCCCCTCCCTGGGGTCCACACTGCTCGGTCCACGCTGGGCGCAGAAGCGGCTCCAGGCAAACTGCGAATGGCAGGAGAGAAGGGGCGGCTCTAGGCGAAGCCTCCTGCAGGCACGGGCTTCTCAGGTCGCGTTCCCTGTGGTAGAACCTGGCATGCCCGTCAGCCTTATCCGCGCCCTTACTCCAGGCAGAGTCACCCGACCCTGCCACCCTGGCCGTTGTGGAACTGCTGCCCCTTACCCAAGGCCCGGCTCCTCCTCCCGTTCCCGGGGACGGCTCCAGGGCCTCCCAGTTTAATGGCTGCAAGTCCCTAGAAGTGTAGGGTGCGGAAGGGCCACCTTTCGCAGGGATCAAGTATTTGATTCCTGGAGCACGTGGGGCGAAGGACTGGCCGGTGACTGTGTCAGGCCTGGGCCGGTGAGTACGCGGGACCCACTCAGCCCGCAGCGGCCCCGTCCCGGCAGGAGCAACAAGGCCTCTGCTTGGGAAGGCGGCCCTCGTCACCCTGCGGCCGGGGCCCGACGTGCAAAGACCCGGGTCCCGACGGCTCTGTGGAGTCAGCCGCGGTTGCCGTGTCGCAGGTTTACCGCAGTGTGGGATGCACACGCGACATCCAGCAGCAGGACTGTCAGGCGAGCCAGCGCCGCCCCACAACTCTTACCACATCTCAGAGCAGACCGAGGCCGGCAGTGTCTGAGAGATCAGCACACTCCAGACGGAGCTGGACAGCCGCCTTGGTCCCCCTCCTGCCACACAGGTGGGCGCGGGCACCGGCAGCTCCCTCCTTCCTGTCCGCTGGCCCTTGGGGACCGGCGACAGCGCCCGTCACTGCGAGCTCCCGCACGGAGGACATGCGGGAGCCGCGCGTCGTCCCTGTTGACTCTGAAACGCAGAGCACTTCACTCATCACAATTGCTCTTAAACGTCCTTGGATGGTCCCCCTCCCCCATCCCCCTCCCCCCGTAGTCCTGGGGTCCTCAGCCCTGAAGTTCAGAGTTAGCGGGTCCTCCAAGGGCCAGACGCACAGTGACGGGGAAGTGGCGTGAACCAAGGGAGCCAGGAGCGGAGCGGTCATTGGCCTTTGAAAGATTCCAATAACTGGATTTTCGTCCCTGATTACTGATGATGTTTTTAATTTGGAGCTGGAGCTGCTCCCTCTGGGAATAAGGGAGCCGCCAGGGCATATGCTATTGTTCTAAAATAGAGTTCAGATTAGATTTTGCCCAAAGCAGGTACACAACCGGGAAAACTTGACTTCTGTTAATGCTATACTTTTGGCAAAATGTTCCTAGATTCTTGCTGGCTGTGTTTCCCTTCCGTGAGTTTTACCGTATCCAAGTACCACCTGAGTACTATTTTGCTTAAAACCCATTCACTGTTATACTTGAGTAAATTTGTTTTACTCCCATAATTGCAAAACTAGTATTACTTGTCCTTAATTGAGGGTAATAAATACAGTAAAGACAAAGGTTATTAAATCTAGCTAGGTAGTAATGCTTGCCACAGGTTCTGGGCCCAAGGCCTATATCCCTGTCCCTGAAAGGCAGATTACCCTGGGTGAAGACAGGCTGGCACTGTGCCGAAACTTGCCTTTCTGGAATGTGATGGATTGAAAAAGAAAAAAGAAAATCCTTTTTCCTCGGCTCAGTAATCATTCTAATGCCTTTGGTTCCAAGTGGGACTGAGCCTACCTTTGAAAGACACTGCCTTTGAGAAACTCCTTCCTTTATATTCAGTGTGAGGAATTGAGTACTTGAACTTGTGTGAAAACCTCTCTGTAGGATGTGAGGGAGTGGAAGGCACCGTCCCTATACCCCAAAAGTGTGTCATCTAATAAGGGACGGACTAACTGGTGAGCTGAGAAGAGACAGAACCCACGAGTGCACAGAGGTTGCGGCCTGAACACGCAGTGTATTTTGTTCAAGAAGGTGCGCTGCGGGGGGAGGGCAGGCCTGAGCGTTCTTGTCACCCACGGGTCCCCAGCAGGCAGTCAGCAACACCTACCGAGTCAGGAAATACAACCCCCAGCCCAGTCACCCGGTGGGGATGTCACCGTACGGTTCGCAGGTGGGGACTGGCTCGGGGGAGGCAAGATTTGGGCGGAATCTTGAGGTGACTACGCGCACGCCCACGCGCACGGGGGCTCAAACAGGACACGTGAGGGCACCAGATTGTGACTAAGGTCGTGACCTTAGCCTAAAAACAGCAGAATACCTCCCCAGCCCCAGCATGTGTTCCCAGACCTGAAGACATCTCTCTTCTTATTCTATAGTCACCACCTTTCAGCCGGGCAGACACCCTAGAAAATGAGTTGTTGGAGCAAGAGAAACGTCTTCTCTTGCAGGAGCGACACCTCCTGTTTCTAGGCGCATGGGTGCGGCACCGGCTTTGCCGGGGCGGCCGCGGGGTCTCCCTGCGAACGCGGGCTTCCCAGACCGCCACGGCGAACTGTGGTGCCGCTTCCATAGTCCCCCGTGCTGGTTCTGCCCCCGTTAAAGGGAATCCCAGCTCCTCCGGTGCTGACCTGCCGTCGCACAGTTTGCTGGTCTGGACAGCCCAGTCTCCCGTGATGCTTTTCCAGAATAAACCAGACGAGCAGCCCGGCGGGAGCAGGAAGAGCCGCTGCCCTGGGTCCGCTCTGCCGCCCCACACGGGACGCGGGCCTCGGGGGCTGTGGCTCTGCGGCTGGGCGAGGGGGAGGCCTCACCCCAGAGGGATCTCTCGGGGGCGCCGAGGGCCGGGAGGCTCTGCTCAGGCTCCGGCTGCGCAGCCTTTGCGACAGGCCTCCGCTTCCAGCACCGGGATGCTGGCAGTGTAGCATGGCCCTTTCCCACAGGGGCTCTGGGATCCCGACCCGGCACGCGCTCACACGCCGGTGCTCCTCAGAAAGCTCACTGTCCGTCTCCACACGAAGGCTGAGGTTTCAGTACGGCTAAGTACGAACCGCGAACCACAGGCAAGGTACAACCTTAACGGACCATACCTCAAAGCTAACCTCGTGTGTTAACGGAGTCGCAGACGCCCCAGTGAAGCAGTAGCAGGGCCCAAAGCTGCGCGTCCTCTGAAGTGAGCACAGTCCGCACCGCAGAGTCCTTTTAAACTTCACCTTTGAACCAAAACCTCACGGAGTCCCTGCCTCGGATGAACCTAGTTGTCTCTTTGGGGAAGGGGTGTGCTCTGGGCTCAGCTCCTGGCCTCTGCAGTGCAAAAGGCTGGATTTCCAGTGAACTAACGAACTCCTTCATGTGTCTGTGACGCAGGTCCAGTACTTCTTCAAGATCCTGGACAACTCGGAGTAGAGAAAAGCAAAGAAGTCACAGCCGGAGCCGTAGGACAAGAGTGAGTCACGCACGTGCGGAATGTGTTCATTCTTTTATTGTCCATTGTTGAACCTGACCGCATACAAGATCTAGAAGAGCACTGTACTCCTGGCAATTATTGTACATGTTGGAACATGGATTTTGCAGACAACATTTAACACCAGTCTAGGGGGTACTGCGTTGCTTTTTATAAAGTCCAAAATAAAGATTTATTTTCAAACAAGTGACTTTGGTTTATTTCATACATTACACTTTTTCTTGCAGAAAAAAATAAAATTGTACAACTGCATAAATATAAAATTCTTCCACCATGAAAATGGTTAAAACATTCATAAAGACACAGCACCAGCATGTGATGCCTCCAGAGAAAGGAAAAAAGGAAAATAAAAGAAACTGTAAAGCAAATGAATTAGGCCTGTCACCAGCCCCAGTGACAGGCGATCCAGATCTCATACACAGCTGATCGTACTGGAGGACAAGGGAAGAGAGGTCAAGACGGCATTCGATACAAAGCACAATGCAACCCATCACCTGTGTTTTTCTGTCGTGTCACTTAAAATTTAAAGGGCAGTTCCCCCATGACAGCCCACCCCCACCCCCAGCCCCAGGGAAAAAAAAACAAAACAAAACAAAACAAAAAGTAAAGACCCAACACCACGGGAAAAGACTATGGAGTGTGTTAAAAATGCTCATTGATGGGCCATTAGTTTCTGAAAGAGCCAAACCAAAAAGAAAAAAAAAAAGTACCATGCCAGTTTTATTCCCATTGAATATTTACACCTTGGACAGCAAACCTTGCTCACATACAGTAGAAAACAGATGCGATAAACATGGCTTGAGAAATGACCAGAGTGTGCACCTACAGAACTGTACATCACATCAGATCCACAAGGCAGCAATACTCAGGGGCCGGAAACACTGCTTACTACGAGTCAGTTATGGAATCATAATTTACAGTAAAAATGGGCACGTCCCAAGGCTCAATTTTTATTTTTTTCTTTTGTCATTTACAGTAGAATAAATATTTTGTTGCTATTGCTACACTTTAAATTTACATTCTAACCTATTAAATGCAGAAAGCTAGTGTAAAGCATATAGATTAAGTGTAGGTCCCATACGTATGACAGTTTGTTCAAGACTAGTAGGTTTTTGTTTTTTGTATCTTTTTTTTAACTTTTTAAATGGCTAGTGGGAAAGATTTGTGCTTGTGATCAGCTCTTAACTTCAATTTTTACATCAAAGCGTCCCTGAAAACGGTCTTTCTCACTGTACCCAATGTTCTCACCGTATGCCTTACACTCGATGCGGATTTCAGTGTCCATGGTGAGGTTGGTGAACTGCACGGCCAGCAGCGGCTGCAGGTACTTGGGCTGGAGCAGCTTACCGTAGTAGGGGTAATACTGCAGAGGAAACCCGGGGTAGCCTCCCAGGCCAAAATACTCCACGTTCCCAACTTTATCCTTGTCTTCGTCTCGCTGAAAACCAGAGAGAAAGGAGATTTTAGTGGCTGGCAGCCTGGGTCACTTCCCGAGGGACCACCGAGGCTCTCGATCCCACCGGACCACCTGCGCACCGCTGCTGCAGGAGACCGTCTGCCCCCGACACGGCCACTTGGAGTGCCTCCGGAGGCAGCTGCACACCGGCCGCGGGAGGACACACGCTGGTCCCTCCCTGGCCGCTGTGGGAAGTGGTCATCAGAGGAAACTCTTCACATTACATAGGTGAAGGACAGCAAAGGTCAACCAAGCATTTCCCCAAAGCCAGCACATCCAGAAAGGCACCTCCCACTGAAAGTCAAACCCACTGGTGCTGGGCCTCTGGGTGGGCCTTGGGCGACATTCCTTCCGAACGTCTAACTACTTGTGTCTCCTTCCTTTGAGTCCATTTCATTGCTTGGCTTGGCATGTGCGTAAAACAGCACCGTGTAGGGATTCCCTTTAGTGGCCCTCTCCGTAAACAATCGTTAGGATCCTATTTTTAGGTCTAAAGGGAACACGTACTACTGCCTTTCATTATTTCTTATTTTTGAAAGAACAGCCAAAAACTGGGGCACCTGGGTGGCTCAGTCATAAAGGCTCTGCCTTCAGCTCCCGTCATGATCCCAGAGTCCTGGGATTGAGCCTCGCATGGGGCTCCCTGCTCGGCGGGAAGCCTGCTTCTCCCTCGCCCACTCCCCCTGCTTGCCACTCCACCTCTCGTGGACTCTCTCTTTCAAATAAATAACAACAAAAAAAACTTTAAATAAAAAAAAAAAAGAAAAGAAAAGCCAAAAACACATTTTTCAATGTGAACTTGTCCAAAAAAAAAAAAAAGGCGGCCTTCAGTCTTGAACACGCCACGTGGGCGAGAGACGCACGAGTGGGCTGGAGTTCACCGCAGTTCTGGAAACCGATACTCCTGCTCGGGCGGCTTCGCGCTCCGGTGGCGGGACGGACGTGCGGTTTCAGCTGCTAACGTCCTCGTCTGAGATGCTCTGGCGCGGAGCCCCGTGCCTGCTGTCCCCGGTCCCCTAGCGGCACGTCGCGCGCCCCCGCCCCCGCCGCGGCCCCTCACCTTGCCCGTGCACTGGACCGGCAGGACGTAGGGGCTGTACTTGAGCGCCGGGGAGGCCTCCAGGGACTCGTTCTTGGGAGGCTGCAAAGAGGAGCGCACGGTCAGTCCGTCCGCCTCGTTCTCGCGTCCCGCGCACGGAGCTCGTGGGCGGCATCCACAGGCCCCGCGGGTCGGCAAACGCGACCCAAGTACCGCACTCGAGGGTGCGAGAACCAACGACCCTACCCGTCCGCGCCGGGACGTGGCCGAGACGAGGCCGCCCCGCGCTCCGGGAGGCCGCGCGGGCGCCGCGACCTGGCCCGGCACCCCGGGGCCGCGGACCCGAGAGCGGGAACGTGAGCGCCGGCGCGGCGCGGCCCTGCTCGCGGGTGCGGCCGTCGGAAGGACGAGTCGTGGCCGTTTCCGTCCCACAAAAGCCGGACTTGCTTCCGCGAACCGCATCCTCCGGCCTCACGCGGGGCTCGAGCAGCTTTTCTTCTGGGCCCGAGTCTCGGCAGAGCCGCGGCCGCGCGGGCGGCACCGGCAGCTCCGGGAACGGGTCCAGCGCGGGCAGGTCGGGCTGGCGACGGCCCCAGGGCAGCGGCCGCGCTCCGGAAGGTGCCGCTTTCTTGGGCCTCGGGGGCCCCTGCGGCGCCGGCTCAAGTGCACCGGGAAGGGCGCGACGGCCACCGCCGCCCGCGGACACGGCCCCTGCGCGTGCGTGTCCCGTCGGGGAGCCGCAGTTCGCCCCGAGAAGCGCCCGCGCTGCAGCACGCGAGGTGGCCGTGCGGGGCCCCTAGACGGTTCCAGCAGCCGCAGGCGGATGACCCCGCTCACTGCCCGCCCAGGCGGCGGGAACACGCGAAGCCAACACCGCGCTTCCCGGAGCTCGGCCGGAATGGCCCGCAGCTTCCAGTTTTGCCATGAACTTGTCATTCAGTAAAAAAACGAACAAAAACCCGTGTCTTCAGATTACCAGACCTTTTTTAAAAAACTACTCTTGGGCTCCAGGAGAACCAAAACCTGAGCCTGTACATGCAGACAGTTCTGAAACTTGAAAATACCTTTTTCTAGGTTTATTGTCAAAGGGTTCACGTTCTAGAATGACATCAGGGAAGCGTTAGGAACAGAGGGACCGCCCGGGGGCTCGGTTGGTTAAGTGACTGCCTTTGGCTCAGGTCAGGATCCTGGAGGTGAGGATCAAGTCCCACACTGGGATCCCTGCTCTGCAGGGAGCCTGCTTCTCCCTCTGACCCTCCCTTCTCACGCTCTCTCTAATAAATAAAATCTTTTAAAAAAATAAAAGAACAGAGGCGCCGGACTTACTTGAGATCGTGGCTCTGCCTCTCAGAATTTCTCTTTAGAAAAGGAGATAAATGACCTGACTGTCCCGGTCCCCCAGGCAGATGCAGATGTCTCTGCTGTTACTCTGAATGGGATCCAAGTCGCCACTGAGTTTACTCTAAATCTTTAGACTCGCCTCCTGCCAATCCGCCGCCTCATCGGAAGGAGAAAGGCTCCTCTACAGTCTAGGGTTTAAAAGCACGACTTGCCTTAGGTTTGAAGCCCAGAACTCGGTTCAGCTTTATTAGGACGCAGGGTTTGCCCTCTTTGTAGCCATAGGATTCATCGTTTATTCCAGAGCAATTTCCCAACCACTCGAGCTTGAACCTGCACACTTTTCGCTCTCCGCGTTCATTGTTAAATTCTCCTCGTTCCTTGATTTCACTGGGCACATCTGGAAACAGAAAGCACGGTTTTCACTGTGGAGCCACAGTCCCCTGGGCGCCACCGAGACAGGAAAGGGAGCTTTCTTCCAGCCCGTCCCAAGTCTGCGTCCAGAGCGAGGGTTCCCCGCAAACCGCCTCTGGTTCCCGTGCGGACATCAACACGGGGCTGTACCCCAGGCGATAGCTGCTGTGTGACCCCACCCAGGGCTTCCAGGTGCCAGAGGATCCACACATGATGTCTGGTCCAGAGCCCTATTTCTCTTCCCTTAAATAACGGGTGAGTCGGTGACGTAAAAGACTGAGCAGAAACCCGGCCGCCCGTCATGAGCAGCCTCATCGACATGGGTCAGCTCCGGCTGAGCTCATTAACAGGGACATTGTGATTAGAAGGCAAATTAAAAGGACTGTCAATAATTTTCAGAACTGGCAGGTTTTTGGTCAGAATTGCCTAGCCATTGCTAGGCCACGGTCTCTGCCACTAACAAGCCTCTTAAATAGAGTAAAGAAAGAATTATTTTTTTCCTTTTCAGCCACCATTCAAGGTTTGAAATTTTTCTTATTTTTGTCTTTTCAAGCTATGACTTCTTGCAAGCATTTGTTCAATCAAAAAAAAATATTGTAGTATTCTTGATTCATACCTCCTAACAAAGCCAGAGAGAGAATACAAGAAATAGAGAATTCAAGGTTAATACAAAGCACCCTGCAGGAAACTGAGGCAAATACCATAATTTTTATATATTTCTAAGGTCACAAAATAACTATTTTCCCTTTAAATGGTAAAGGGCCTCCACTCAGTTCATCTCCAGGGAAGCAATTCGCCCTAATGATCTTTCATACAAGCCTTTTAATTACTGCAAAAATGAAAACTTCATTGAAATCCTAATGAGAAATCTTAGGAAACAAACTGAGGGTTGCTGGAGGGAGAGGGCGGCTGGGTGATGGACACTGGGGAGGGTATATGCTATGGTGAGTGCTGTGAATTATGTAAGCCTGATGAATCACAGACCTGTGCCCCTGAAGCAAATAATACATTATATGTTAATAAAAAATAAAAAAATAAAAATAAAAAATAAAAAAATTATTCTTTTCAGAATGACCTAAAATGGCAATCACCCCATATTATCATCAAGCAAACAGGGCCATGTGACGAACTGGTGTCGGTAAATGCTTGAACTGAGTCGGAAAGACTGAGGTCACCGCGTTACTCAGACATCTTGTCTCAGCAGGTCTGGAAACATGGCTGGATGGTGCACGAGGACGGAGATGTGTGTTCCCGTCAGCGTTAATACACCCAAGAGCCACCTTTCCTTTACCGTTCCTTACTGAGATGCTGAGCAGCTTGGGACACAGTTCGTGGTCCCTCCCAGCCGGGGGCAGGAAGGCTCTGCCCTGGCCAGAAGTCCTGCTTCCTCCATATCAGCGTAGCTGACAATGCCAAGAAGTGGTCCTAGTGAGAGAAAGGTCCTACACACTCTTCCACAGGAGAAGGGGGCAGGGGCGTGGGGAACAGAAATCTGGAAATGTAAACAGTTGTAGTTCTCAAAAATCAATGGAGAACCATAGCAATAACTGTGGTCTTTGAGTGTGAGTGGTAAAAGGCAAATGTGTCCAGGAGTGTTTTAAAGCAAGACACTTTCCAAATGCACATAATTGTAATACTTGAGGCTACTTTGTTTCTTCCATCAGATGCAAGCCTAAATCAGTCTTCTTGCTTTAAAACAAAATGAAAACTGTCCTCTCAATATGGCCAGACTTCCATCAATTATTTCAAGAGGATTTTTCGATCATTAAATAACAGATAGAAATGGGAAATAAGAATTAAACCAGCCACAGACATCCAAAATGAGTCTACTTACTGCCACAATCTTCAAAAATCATTTCATCTTTCTGGGCCGAATCTTTGTACTTCTCCAGGAACCTGACTATGTTGAGCACATACGCCTCATAGCTCTTGGGGTCGTTAGGGCGAAAGGAGATTTCAGTCTTTTGGATCTGAGGAATCTGTGTTAATCCTAGACCAGACAGAAAGAACAACACAGAAAATCGTCAGTGGGAAGGTGTCTACCAAGATCATTCAAGCACGTTCTCCACGTACCAACATGCTTCCCCCATCCCACCTACTAAAAAGAAGGTTAAATTCTTGCTTCTCCTGTGAAGTCACTTCTCTGGCATTTAGATTAAGTGCCGGTGACAGTGTCTAACTATCATCATCTTTTTTACCCAGCAACACTTCAGGATGGGTAGTCTCTCCACTTTATGAATGAAACTTCTTGCACAGAAAGGTTAAGTGCTTGGCCTGAGGTCACAGAGGAAGTAGTGGCACTAGGATTTCAACCCATGTATACTCCAAAGCCTGTTATCTTCCCAGTACGTCCGTACGCTCATATTAAAAATGAACCGCACAGCTACCAGCATTTCTTGCCGGTGGCCTTCCTTTCCCTAACTGCATGTAAGCCTTTGCGCACAGAGGCCTTTTATACTTTTGGAATGGGTTGACGACCTTTCCAAACTCTACCAGACTCAAGGCTACTCAACAGAGACATTCCTTTGGATCGTGAACCCGAACTGGATGAAATGGGATTTATGTACAGTTACCGTTCCTGCTTTCCATTCTAAAAGCAAGTCAAGGGTCAGCCAGTATAAAATTCAAAGTATGACTACCTTGGATTTTCACTCTTTAATCAACATTTTAGATTCTTTAATTTTCATATGCCTCTATCACCACAAGATTTCCTGACTAGGATTTGCACACCACACAGCACTACACAGGAGCGCCAGGGGAGGCCTGACCATGGCCTTCTAGTCTCGGATGCTAGGTAAGACCCAAGTTGCCTGGTTACATTTAAATTTCAGATAAACCATGAATCAATTTTTACAGAAGTATGTCCTGTGTAATACTGATGTATTTCTGTAAAAATCAACTCGTGGTCTACCTGAGGGTTAAATTTAATTAGGCGTCTTGTATTTTATTTGCTAAATTGCACGACCCTATTCTAATCCGATTCCAGACGCGCCCACTTTGTGTCGGGCACAGAAGGCAGCTCACGCCCGCAGCCCTCTGCCTTCAGCGAGGAGCGCATTAAACCTGCTGCCCCGTGGGCCCCACCCCAGACCTGCCAAGTCAGAACCACTACTGATGGGAGTCGAGAATCTCTACATGAATGAGCTTGAAGGGTTCCCTGAGCACTCCTGGTTTGAGAACCAGTGCTCTGGGGCCAGAAGCGGAGACTAGCAATAGTGATCCAACATGACGAAGACACGGACATAAAAATCAGGCTCGGGTTGGGGCTGGGATCAATGGCAGCTTTTATCTAGTGATTAAGGACGGCTCTGAGCTTCAAACATGGTTAAACAACGTGAGCAGCCCAGCTCAGGGGGCTCGACGGGCAAGTTCTGCGGCGCCTGCTGTTCCCTAGAAGAAGGGAGAAGACGGGGATGAAGACAAAGAACGGGAGGGGCTGGAACCAGGCAGAGGGGCTGCCCCAGAAGCACGACTTCACGGGTGACCTGAAGAATCATCTGAAACAGGATCCCGTAGGAGCTGAGGAATCCAAGGGAAAAAGCATCAGCGATGACGGAGAGAAGCCACGGAAAGGGGAGATAGCGGGATTTGCACTTAGAAAAATGATCAGTTAAAAATAAACAAGGTTAGTACAATTAAAAATATTTTTTAGATGCTCACTAACCCTAGAAAATTGTACGACATTTAAGTTAGGAAATTGGCATTGTGACCATTTGTAGCACAAGGAGACAGTAAATAAAAATGACAGACACCTGCGAAAACAAAACAAAAGTGAGTAGAACTTCCCACTGGGATTTCATGCCTGAGGAAGTATGGAAAACAGCCTCCCACTGAAATGGGGAAGGCCAAGGGGGGCCAGGGAGGGGTGCATTCTGGTTTGACTTAGAAACTAGATGTTTAAGTCAAGGTGACATGCCTGGACCTGTGAAGGGCAGGGGAAGGCTCCAGGCCAGAGTCTCACGGAACCCAGGAGGACGGGCTGTTTTCCTAGAATAACCCGGGAATCGGCAGAGAACAGAGCCTGACGGGCGTCCACACCAGAGCGCACGGGGAGAGCCCAGGCACGGCAGCCAGAGATGCCAGAGGCAAAGGCCTTCAAAGTCCGTGGCGCCGGCTTGCCGGATCCCTCTCAGGGACCCCATGTGGCCGGGGCGGGAGCGGGAGCCGAAACGCACTAGCGGCATCTATGTGTGCGGCGTGAGGGGAGCGTCCGGGCTCGGGGAGAAGGCAGGAGGCGGCCGGAAAGCTGGACAGGAGCAGACCCGGTCCTCAGGAAGCAGGACGCGCGCTCACCAGCCTTCCAGAAGTGGGCGGCGGGGGAGAGGCTGCCGGCCGCCCTCGGGGACAGCGGCAGGATCAGCGGCGATCACGCTACAGTCCCTCATCAGAGCGGGCGACACGGCCAAAACCAAAATGCTAGCAAAGGGTCAGCGAGCCCAGGTGAGATCTGGAGAGCCTCACCCAGTGAGTTTAAAAGACGAAGGTGAACCTAGAAGGTCACGTTAGAGGAACACAGCAGGACCTCAACCTCGAGGTGAGTGTCCGGCTTCAGCTGTCCGGGGGCCCCTCCCAAATTCTCTCTTCCCATGGCCGGCCGAGGACCCAGCTGCCATCTCCCGGACTGGGTGACGTGCTCCTCAGACTCTCCCAGAGCAAAAGGGACAGTGGGAAGAGGAGGTGGCATTACACAGAGTGCTTTTCAGTCCCTTGAGCTGCCAAGTCCAAGTTCTCTGCTATTAAAAGTGGCCGCGTGACATGTGTGAGACCCCAAAGCATCAGCAACCCTGAGTCAGGCATGTGGGTTCTTATGAGAAGTGGGTCCTTTGGGAGCCTGAGAACTGTGGCCCGAGCTGAGTTCCTGCACACCCAGAGACAAACACCGGATTCCCATCATCAAGCGCCTCTGCTGTTAAGAACCTGAGTTATGGAAACAGTAGGCATTATTATTGCACACACAACGGTGCCACTGGCCCAGGGAAGCTCTACACAGTTGGCCTCGCGTCTCTCTAGATTGGGCAAAGAAGAAATAATGAAAACCAAGTAATGGAATCACACCAATTTCTGCCCGAGAGCCCGAACCTCCCCCCACCCCCCCAGTAAGGACGGCTCACAGCCCAAGGCGCACGGAGCCTGTACATTACTACGGGAGAGAAACGCAGCTCAAAGATGCCTGGAGAAGCGTGCCTGTGTTCTGTGCAGAGAAGCATCAGAAAGTGAGAGACCGAGAAACCAAGAGTAAAAGAGACAGCTAAGCCCAGGGTCTTAGAACCCTCGGACCTGCTGAGCTGGATTAGACCTTGAGCCAAGGCCACTACCGTATCCTTTCCACTTGAAGTGATGCAGAACGTTGGGAGAGGGAGCCCCGGAATGACAGACCAACCCCAGGAAGGTCAGCCATGCCTTCCTGTCTGCTGAAGTTTACCACTGGGGTCTCTGAAGGATCTTGAAGGTGTAACTACCATAAGCCTTCATGACCCTCCTTTTAAGACACCCAACTTCTGGTCCCAAGATGGCTTCCAGAAAAAGCAGCATGCATGGTTTGTGTTCCAGGCATGCCATCAGCTCCTCTCTCTAAACCCTCACCTACAGAGCACATACACACATAAATACTGAGGAGCCACCCCAATGTCGGGTTTGGGCACAGCCCCCTCGATGAGCATGTCTGCTCTCCTTGCCCATGTCTGGGCAAGGTCTCACTCCATCCCCCACCAACTCTGCCTCCCCTTTTCTTCATCCAGAGCCTTCTGGCCTGAGTTCTCTTCCTGGAAACTCTCAGAGATCAATCCCCTCGCCTGTTCTGCTCAGGATCACCTTAATTAGGAAAGTTCTCAGATGAGATCTTCTCCCAAGCCATTAGGAAAATTCCTCTCTTCAAAAGTAATTTCCCTAAAGCACTTAGATACATTCGAGAGGCAGATGAAGGACACTTGATCGGATATCTGATCATTTACTTCCATTATCAGACTCACAGGAAAAGAGACAGAAAGGAACGGGATCAGATGTGGAAACTTTATTATCTGGAGGCCACACAGATTTCTTCAACTGTGACACTCTTCCAGGGCTATACAAATCCCACCTTGGGGACTGGCACCCTCATCAGTTGTGTTCACACGGGACTAGATACAATCCACTAGTCCCTCTCTACTCTGCCCACTCCATAAAGCTGTGGGTCAGGATTTAGACAAGGATGAGCTTTCTTTCCAGTGGTAACTCCCAGAGGCCAAAGATAGCAGAACACCCAATCACTGGCTTGTGGTCTCAAGTTATATTCCAGGAAACAGATATAACCTTTTGCCTCGCCAGTGTTCTGAACTTGAACTGACATTCACCAGGCCAAGTTCTACACAGCTTTGCCCTAATAGGGCCTTTTGCCTTAAATTACGTTTCACTTATTATTTAAGAAAACCACCTGAGCAGACTGAAATCGTAACTTGGATATGTGACATTTTAGTATTGGGTTTGTAATGAGGACATCATCTTTACAGAGAATTTGGAGTAAAACAGAACAAAACAAAAACCTCTTTGGCTTCGCAGTTGCTTCTTATAGTTACATTTGCCTTTCCTTGGTCCTTGGTCCCCCATCTCTTGAGAAACTCAATTGTTGGCTTTAGTCGGCATTCATAGCAGGAGGGGAAACTAGCCAGTAAAAGAGGAAGGGAAAAATAAAGGAAAGGCTTTTCACTAAGAAATACATTGTGTCCAATTGGGTTTACAATGTAGCAAGTTTATAATTCCTCAATTTACTTGTGAGTCTGAAATATTGAAACCAGAACACGGCCATTGTAACCTTGTAACGGTTACTCAGCTGAATCCCAAAGCACAGCTGCTTGTTCGACATTTAATACACCCCCCAAGTCCCCAGGCCAAATTCTCTAAATAGGCATCATTTTCCACAGAAACCTCCAGGAGGGCACCCACAATGACTAAGAAGGGCACCCAAGGCAAAGAAACACAAATGTAGGCATGCACACAGCACCCCATACACATATC